GAAAGGAGGCAAGGGAGAGTCAGAGGTGCAGAAGCAGAATGCAAGGAGCAAGAGGGAATCGTAATGTGATGGAAGGTGAACAAGAGGGAGGAATTCAAAGATATAGCTATGTAGATTCAGTATGTAGACAGATCTTGTAGCACAGAAAAGCACACCTGAATCTCAACATCTTCTATGGATGCCATTAATGCAAGGGAGACAGAACAAAAAGCAAATTGAATATATTATACAGACAAGGCAACGCTTCCATTTCCTGTTGAATGAACACAAAGATTATTTAAGCCTCATCTGTGAAATTCCACACATTTGTGCTTTGAGCTGAGAAGCTAAATGTGTATTTTATCCTGTATTCATTTAGTAAACCCTTCTGCTTATGTAGGATTGCCACATTATAAGTATGTATGTTATGAATAAAAAAATCTAATTGTGCAAATTCAACACATCAATAGTTGTATTTTGTCCCTCATGGTATTTCAGTCTTCATGCCCCTTTTGTTGTGGTTACAGTTATTTGTCCTTACTTTCTTCTGCATTTCCTCCTCAAATCAGATGGCAGTTACTCTTAGGGACTTGTGGAGATATTTTCAGGGATTTATTTTTTTTCCTCATCTGAAAAAAAGAGGGGACAAAAAAGAGCAAAAATAAATTATATAGTGTTATCATCACACTAGGAAAGTAAAGAGCAAAAATAAATTATATAGTGTTATCATCACACTAGGAAAGTATTTTTTTACATTATTCCTGTCTTGCTATTAAGTCCCACAGCAGCCCTGTAAGGGATTTGAACTTGCATCTCTCTGTTTCAAGTCAAGCAGTTTAAAAATTACTGTAATCACAACAAAAAGAGCATGAAGACTGAAACACAATGATAGGAGGGAAATGCAACTATTGATGTGCTGAATTTGCATAATTAGATTGCTAATTTATAACATGCATGCTTATAATGTGGCAATCCTGCCTAAACAGGAGGGTTTACTAAATGAATACAGGATAAAATACACATTTAACCTCTCAGCTCAAAATACAAATGCGTGGAATTTCACAGATGAGGCTTAAGTAATCTTTGTGTTCATTCAGCCGGACATGTAAGTGCTGCATTGTCTGTATGATACAATTTGCTTTTTGTTCTGTGTCCTTTGCATGAATGGTATTCATAGAAGATGTTGAGATTCAGGTATGCTTTACTGTGTGCCTTCTGAAAATAACCCTCAGATAGGCTGAGAAATCTGGCTCAAAATGGTTCCCCAAATCCTTGCTTTAGCCAGATGCCAGCCATGTTGTCATCTGATTGATGAGTAGGTAGGCAGATGACCATCAAAGAATGTGAAATTCTTTGTTACTCTTTCAATCAGGGACTTTGAAATTATGCCAGATGATTGGACAGTAAGTGTACAGTTTAATCTCTGAAGAATTTGAAGGACGAAGCTAGTCATCCTTTGATGCAGCTGGTACCTAGTCATAACTATGCATATGGGAAAGTAATGAGTCAAGTAATATTCATATTATATATTTCATTCTTATCAGTGATTTAATATAATATCATAGATTTTCATCCTGTAGAAATCTGACTTATCATTGAAAGCAGAGCTAAGATTCAATAATGCCATGGCATGTTTCCTTCAGGTTTTTGGGGTTGTATCTTTTTTTTTAATACAAGTTGAAGGGAAGTAGAGTAGACTTCCACATCTTATGCGTGAGGTGAGCCATAAGGGCTCTTCCAAAACGTTTTATTGCCTGAAGCAGAAGCGAAAATGGTGCATCCCCCTTCCATGTTTAAATCTGTGTATAAAAGCGGGTCAGGGTAGTGGTTAAATCTTCCTTCAACACTGGTAGCAGGACATCTTTTCTTGCACCTGAGGACAGCAAGGGACTTTAAGCTTTCAGGATACATACAGCTTTGTCCATGGTGTGCTCTTTTACACCTGCTGCCTGAACCAGGGTGCATCTACACTGTAGAAATAATGCAGTTTGACACTGCTTTATTTTCCATGGCTCTACCCTATGGTATCCTGGGATTTGTAGTTTCGTGAGACATCAGTACACTTCAGCAGAGAAAGCTAAAGCACTTGTAAAACTACAAATCCAAGGAATCCATAGGATGGAGCTACAGCATTTGTGAATTATTTCTATACTGTAGATGCACTGAGAGTCACCTCAATCTGCCTAATGGGGCAAAACCAAATATAGCACTCCCAGAGTCACATCACCATAAAGGCCTGCCACATTAATGGCAGAGGCTCAGCTTCCTTTCCCAAGATTTGCAAGACAGCCAATGTGTTATATGTATATTTTAAAAGTAGGATCCAGAAAATGACAAATCAATCGGACTAAATTCTTCCACAGCCACAGTTGCAGAGAACAAAGCTCAAATTATTCAAACCACAGGGGGGAAAACTCTTGTACTGCGGGTTGTGATTTATCAACCTTTCCTAGTTCTTTGAGATGTTGACAAGAACGTATATAAGAGTGACCTCATAAATATTATATACTTTAACTTTAGAAAAAAAATGTTTGACATCTCCTTTCAAGATTTGGCGCTTAGTCTTCATGGTGTAAGAGTCCAATAGAACGGGAAATTATACTGAACAGAGATAAGCACACAGTGAATCTTATTGGGATCAGAAAAACAAAATGATTATTTTCATTGCTCCTCCTCAGCTAATATTCCATTTCCTGAGGAAACAATGGAAACAAATTACTTT